TGTAATTTATCAATGAAGAAAATACCGCCAATATTCTAAAGGAGTCTCTAAAAAAGTAGCTTTACTTTTATTCGGAATGTAATTTAAACAAACATATATTTTCTTTCTATTTGTATACACGCTTCAGCAAGCAATTGTTAATCACACGTGAACGGAGTGAACAGTTGCAGAGAACTATCACAAAGTTTCCGCAGTATGCTAAGAATGACATCGTATTAGTCCAATTGAGATGTGGCAGAAATATACTTCAAGTATGACCATGCATCAGAAACGAGTAAGCTTCTGCTTGCTTGAGTTAAAGTAAGTAATTTTTTATAACTCCGACAATATATATATATATATCTTTTTTTTCTCCATTTTGTATTACTTGAAGTTTTGAACTCTTTTTAAAACACTCTATATATTATTATAGAATATATCTTTTCCTGAGTAACTTTTCAAAGATTTTAGCCGTTGCTCATTGTTTATTAAAAAATTATTAAAAAAAAGGTGTTTCATAAGTAGGACCTATTTTTTCAACACAGTACATTTTGTAAACAATTTTAAACAATATATAATAGCAAAGCAGAGGCGGAGATCCTCAAAAAACGTAGCCTAACCTAACCTAACTCAACTTACACAGGGCATCTGAGATCTTTTGAAAATGAAAAATTGTGAAGATTAATCAGATCAAACTGAGAAAAAAAAACCATTTTGCAAAAATCCCAATATTTATTAAGTTATTAGTAATTGAAAATGACCACTTCTAGAAGGTTTCTTAATTGATAACATAAAAATTTATGTACTTATTTGCAAAACGGTAAAGGACTTTTTTTGTTCAGAATAACTTAATCTACAATTCTGTAATGGCTATTGTGCTTAGCGATAGATTCAAGATTCAGGATTTAAAGTTCAATACTTTCATATCTATTGCTAGACACAATAGCAGTCATATAAAAGGTTAGGTCATTCTAAACAAAAAAGTTCTGTTTCATTTTGCAAATAAATATGCAAATTTTCAAGTTATCAATTAAAAGAGCTTTTAAATGCGGTCATTTTCAATCTATAACTATTGCGATTTTTGCAAAATAGTACTTAAGTTTTCTTCTCAGTTTGATCTGATTAATCTTCACAATTTTTCATTTCCAAAAGGTCCCGGACACTCTGTATATATTTGCATATCGTTAAACATTATGGATTTTAAAGGGACCTTTTCAACAAAGGTTGGATTAGTTTAGGTTAGGTTTTTTTTTGCGGGGTATAAGGACCTTTTCCTGTTCATACTATTTAATATTTTTCAACGTACACAGTGTCGGAAAAATAAGCTCCGTTTATGAAACATTTTGTTAATAACTTTTTAATGTACAATGAGCGACAGCTAAAATTTTTGACAAATTTGTCAGAGCTATGTCCTTGACATACGTCAAGGTCATTGGAATCGGTGAGGTCGCCATTAATAATAATATTTACTATACGCCCAATATTGCCTCCATTTTTACACGTGACTTCACGCTTTGTCCTATAAATGCCATTTTCTTTGGAATAATCGTCGAGATATCGCTGCCGTTCGCTGCGACATCTCGACGATATCCGTCCTCGGCCACAATGGCCAGCAGCGCGATGCGAGTGAAGTATTCTGACTACACCGTGCCGTTATTCGTCGAAACTGTTATACGCCGATCTACGTATTTATTTATTTCGCGTCATGAGTCACACACACTCTGCATACGCATAAATCGCTCGTCATTCAAGTCGTTAAGCATCTCGGCGATTAAGCGATTGTGTGTCGCTCACTCGCGGTCTTTGCGAGACTCGACACGCGCGCACGAGTCCTTCGATTCTCGATGCCTTGATAACCGTGTGACCGTTTCGTGCTTTTACTTTGAGTTGAATTTCTCCCCTCCCTCCTCCTCTCTCGCGCGCGTCTGCGGTTGAAAGGACATTCCACGGGTATCACGTACGTTATTGGATTAGCTGGAAGGCGCATTGTATATGAAGAACTTTCTCAAACTCGCGGAGCAACGGCACGCTATCGCGATAATGCGATAAGGGCGCTAGAAATTATTACGGTCACTAGGAATTTCACTAAAATTCCCGGCATAGCTGCAGCTCGCAAAGGGCCGACCTACCTGCTATCTAATAACACTCCGCCGCTCGCGGGTTAATTCATTTTGACGGGATCGATTAATCAGGGGCTGAAAGCCGCCGCGTAAATGACTTCTTTCTGGCGGTCTCGTTTCTACATTGTCGTCGGCTTGCGCAGCGAGAGCGCTCACCAACGAAATAGAGGGAGGCCGGGGGAAGGGGGGAGAGCGACATCGGTCGAGATTATCGGAAAAGCGTGTTTTATTACGATCGTGACTATGTCGTGTGTACGTACGTGTGATTCGTGTTGGCACGTGATACGACGAACTCCGCTTCGCTATTCGGAATAAAAATCCCGACGGAAGAGGGAGAAAGAACGGCAGAATGTATCGGTCGCGTTCCCAGCTGCGAGGAATTAATTAGGGAGAGACCGCGGCCGCGGAAAAAGCGGAACGCGATCAGGGGAACGATCGTTGATGCCCGAATGCGCCGCGCGGTGGCGTCGTGTAAGCAACAACCATTGACTATAGAATACATGGACGGAGCCTATAGCGAAAGGGAGTAGTGATAATTGCGGTAAGGGGATCACTACATTGACTTCGACAAACTTCGTTTATCTTCAGAAAGATTCGGTTCACATGTATGTGTAATGCGTGTATCACACTAAAGCCCGTATCAGACTATGGATTGGGATTGAGATTAGATTGAAATTTGACCAATTGAAAAAGAGAAAATAATCTCAAGTATACTCAAGTATCTCAAGTAAACTTACTCCTGATTGGTTAAATTTCAATCCAATACTCAATCCCGATCCGTAGTCTGATACGGGCTTAACGGCTCACGACTACGGCTACGGCTGCGATTGCGATTGCGATTCTTCTTCGACCAGTCAGAAAGCAGCGACTCGCGGCTGCGACTCACGACTGTCGTTTGGACGGCTGTCCATTTTTCGAGTCGCAGCCGCAGTCGCAACCAATCACAGAATCACGTGACGCGCTCGTCATAGGCTGCGTTCCAAAATTCACTGCCAGTACTGAAAATCTATAGTATACGTGACACAAATTATGTATTTTCAGTACTGGCAGTGAATTTCGGAACGCAGCCTATATCACATTTATTTAATAGTATGTAGAAGTCGGTGATCATTAGAATAAGGTTATACCTAAGGCCGATTGTTCCAACTTCTTGGTAAGTTAAATCATATGTTTATCTTATCTTCTATACATATTTATCTTCGTTTTTCCTTCAATTTAGACAAAAACAGAGATATGATTTGACTATCAATTAACTTACCACGAAGTTGGAACAATTGGCCTCTAGTGTTGTTTTATGTGTTACATATTTTTTTTAAATGTCAAAACAATTTAATAAGGAGATAGGAGATAGGATAAGGAGATAGACTGTTATTTAGTAGATCTCGTAGAATGTAAACCCCTTCTCTGGGATTGTACGTGTGACAGTATGTTAACAGTATTTAGCCGCAGCCGCGATCGCCAATCGCAAGTGTGATCGGAAAACAAGAAATCGCAATCGCAATCGCAGTCGCAGCCGCGAGTCACTAGTGTGATACGGTCTTTATGTATACACATGTATATACACATCAAGTGTATTAAGTATGTACTAAAAATAATAAAGATAGTTGATGTTATGTTAAGAGCATTTACAATACATATAAGTATAAAGTTTGATGGATAATATATAAGAATAAAACATATATATGTCATAAATAAAAGGGATTAATAAATAATATACAATAAATGTTTTGTTTTTTATTGTCTTTTAAATAATATCAATTTATGTAACTTATGTCTATCGCTAATTTTAACATTTTGTATATAATAGGTTAATCGTGTTTTATATAAATATATAATAAGGCGTAATAAGTAATTAATATGATTATTCGAAAAACATTGTTTTGTTTTTTATTATTCTTTAAATAATATCAATTTATGTAACTTGTGTCTATCACTAATTTTAACATTTTGTATATGATAAGTTAATCGCGTTTTAGTATATAAATGTATAATAAGGCGCAATAAATGATTAATATGATTATTAGAAAAACATTGATCGCTTATATGTTGTTTTAAGCTGTCAAATATGCAAACATGTATAAATTGCTTCATGACATGTAGAATAAAAATATGCATATTAAAATTATTTAGTGTTTTTTCTCTCAACAAATAAGTATGTATTGTATTTTCTACCTGCTTACATACATATACAAGGTCCCTTGATAGATATAATAAAGATCCTTTTCGTTTTACATTATTTAAATTACAATTAGTATCTGTTTTTTGCTGCATTAATACACCCACATATTCAGTACAATGCATAATTGTTTTCAATTTTCTTAATATATATCCCGCTATGTATGTAATAACTTCATTTTTATATTCAGTTAATACCAAGGGTAATTGTATATCATAATCATGATCAGTATGTTCTGTATTCAAAACATTGAGCCATTGTTTTGTTTAATTCTGATTTATCGTAGCATTTATAACAATAAATGAATTGTTCGCTGTTGATACATTCAGTATAGAAATATCTTCTAAAGGAACACAATTACCAGTGGTTCCTTCTTTTATTTATGCATGTATAATTAGTTTTTTAAACGCAGATTTGAATTGCTTAATTGTAAGATTGTTATTATATCCACCATGGGACCTTATGCTACTAAATAGTAATTCTAGGTGATCTTGGCTAATTTTGTACATTGGAATTTACATGTACATTGAAATACTTAACTAAATCATTGTCAATACAAAGAAACTTAAACATGTGCAACATACTCTGAATATTTATAAAAAAATCCAAGAAAACCTGTCTTCCTTTTAGAATGGAATATATTTTTCTTTTCCCCGACAAGAGACAATAATTTAATATACTGTGCACATTCTTGGATTTTACTAATTTCACTATGATTATTGATACTTATAGGCTTCTTAAAACCATGTTGTTTTGGATTCTTAGAATTAAAAATATCAAATAAGCCATTAAACATTGATGTAAATAGAATTGTTGCAGAACAATCTTGGAACTCAGGTAACGTTAATGTATTTTTACAAAATGCAAAAGCATTTACGATAGACGAACTAAATAATTGTGTTGCTGTCTTTACTTTCATTTTGTTTTTATAAAATTCTATTTGTGTATTTCTAAGCTTATTCGCTAAATGCAACCCCTCTGCTTCTTGTAATTTATGTAATTCTTAGAAATACTTCCATTTTATTATATTACCATCACTATCAAGAAGTTCCTTGTGTTGGCCAAGAGTATTTCTAACTAACTTGGTCATGTGGCTCGGATCCAAAAAACATGAACATTGGTATCGTTGGCAGGATGTTTAAATCAACTCTGGAATTTGTTCGTATTAGTGTTAAAATTGCATCTCAAACTCTGCAGCATGCTTAAGTAAGAAGATAAACCATTACATGTAAGGGAAACAATTAGCATTCCAGTTTCTTGAATTGCCGTTAAACATTGTATCGTAAAGTTACTTTTTTTATCAGTACTTAATCTGTTTATTAAATAATAAGCAATAGGCATTTTCCAAGATTGATTCATGCACACAACGCAAAACACCAATGCTTCCTTTACAAGTTTTGTAGTAACGCACTCCACATTAATATCACAATCTATGTAACCTACAAATTGATCACTGCAATAATCTAAATGTTGGCGTATCGCCATTTCGTCAAACATTAAAGCACCAATTAATCTATAAGGCACAGCACGTGACTTTATAGCATCTAAAGCTTTTCTTTATTAATGCCAGGCTCTCCACCAAACGAACGATACCATTTCGAAATAGTTTTTGGGTGTGGCAAGCAATTATAAAATTTGTAGCGAACATAATTATATGCTTTAGGTGAGTAGAAATGAAGTGATAATGCAAATTGGCGTAAATTCGTTTCGTATTGTTTAGAAACAGGCAAATTGTTTTTTTGTCTTATTTCACGCTTGACTACTTGTTTCATACCTTCGTCTAAATGTTGTAAAAGATCACTGTCCTCTTCTGTTATAAGATCCTTCCTGCGCAATTCCTTTAACAAATGCTTCAATGACTTTACTTTGTAATTGTTTGTTCTTATAACTGCTGATGGATAACTTTCGTTTCATAATTTTCATTTCATGTGCATGAAACTCTCGCAATTGAGTCTTCGTAGGCGAGTTGAAAACACAGTCAGGAGAGATGCTACTAGAACGGTCCATTTTTGTAGTCATACTTGCTGTGCTTTCTATTTTGCCATTGTTGTTGTTACTGCCTGCAAAGATGTAATATACATATTATTATTACATAAATTATTAACATTACACATTCAACATATTTATACTATAGAGAGGTACAAGTATTATCATATAATAGGATAGGTTAATACACAAGTACGACTGTTGATCATAATTCTAAGTGATTATCTCCAGTACTAACCTTGTTGATTCCATATTTTGTATGAGTTGTGTATTGATATTGCTCGATGTTTCACGTTGCTTGATGTCACATTGTACTTCTCGAAGTTCATCATTTGCTGTTTGCTGGTTTTCCAGATTAATTTTCTCCTCAAACTTCTCAAAGTATGATACGTTTTGAGATAACTGTAATGTGTTCATTATACAATACAAATGCTAAACACTTATTCATTATTATACATAGATATGGAATGGCATTCTTTTTCAATTTGCGTAAGTAATGTCCCACTTCATAATCTTCTTCTCGAAAATGTGCAGAACATACAGCCGCTGTTTTACGTGGATTATAATTGTTTAAATTTAGTGCTACAAGCCACTTCTCTTTTCTTTCAATGTTTTGAGGAAACCTAACAACAAATATAATACATCAAATATACATATATATATATATATTACATTAATTTAAGTAGAAACAAATAACATTCCAATTGAGAATTAACCTACACTCTACACATTTTATTAGGTCAATCGAAAAGTTCCGTCCGTTTTCTTGCAAAACGTGTGGCTTTATTTAAGAAACAAAATGAAAAAGTACATCAACCAAAGTATTGTCCATCGTTAGCGATGACTTTTTCCCATTTTTCGGTCAGCAAGCGAATTCCGCGGCGAAAGAATGACTCATCTTAGGAGGCTATTCTGTCAGAGACTCATTTTTCGACGTTTTCATAAGAATTGAAGCATTCGTTAGCAAGTGCATGTGCCATCAACCGAAACAAGTGGTAGTCGGAAGGCGCACAGTCTGGTGAATAAGCCGCATGGGGTAACACTTCCCAGGGAAGTGTTTCTAACGTTTTCTTGACAGATTTTGTGACGTGAGGTCGAGCATTGTCATTAAGCAAAATCACTTTATGCTGTCTCGTTTCATTTTCTCATCGTTTTTCGTGCAATGCTCGGCTCAAACGGATCATTTGTTCTCTGTAGAGATCCCCTAACCTAATCAACCTAACCTGTGACTGTTTGACCACTTTTCAACAGCTCATGGTACAGCACACCCTTCTGATCCCACCAAATACAGAGCATTGCCTTCTTTCCGTGGATATTCCGCTTTGGCGTCGATGTTGAGGCTTGGCCGGGATCTCAAATAGTTTTTCGACGTTTGGGATTGTCAAAATAAATCCATTTTTCATGCCCAGTGATGATACGATGTAAAAATCCCTTTCTTTGTTGCCTAGCAAGCAGAATTTCGCAGGTTTTTCGTCTTTCAATGTCTTTTGGTTTCAGTTCATATGGGACCCATTTTCCTTCCTTGTAAACCTTTCCTAAGACTCTCAAACGATCGGGAATGACAGATTGAGCACAATTTAATGTTTCTGCAAGTAGTTTTTGCGTTTGACATGGGTCTTCGTCTGCACCAATGCCTGCAATTCTTCGTCTTCGAATACTCTTGGCCGTCCAGAACGCTCTTTGTCCTTTACATCAAAATCATCACTTTTAATGCGTCGAAACTATTCTCTGCGTGTTTTATCGGAAGGAACATTATCACCATAAACTTCTATAAGCATTTGATGAGCTTCAGCTGCAGTTTTCTTCCAATTGAATCAAAAGATTAACGCGCAAATGACGCTTATTTGGCTCAAATTTCGACATTTTCGATACAGTGAAAAACAATGTTATTGATGCAAACGTATACTTTTATGTACTAAATGTTATTGACAGATGTCAAAACAAACTATGAAGCTTCGTTTAGACATTAGAGGTTAACGACAGTTCTAGCTACAGCTACTTGTTGCTAAACGAACGGAACTTTCCGATTTACCTAATACTCACACGTGAAACGAAAACTTTTTATTTTTCACTTCATTTCCTAGTTGTTCATGATTCTTTTTTGCACAGCGATTTTTGCACCCAAACACGACACAAAAACTCATTTTTCTTTATTATTGTACTTTATTATTATATTTGGCAATATGGAGTCTGTTCTTTATAGCTGCATTACTGAACTAGTGCAATAAGTTAAAATGAGACAACTATATTTTTTCTCATTCTAACTTATTGCACTAGTTCAGCAGTGCAGCTATAAAGAATAGACCCGTTACCGATACCCGTTACCAAATATATACAGAGTATGAACCGAATCCTACCGAAGAGAAACGAAGTTTATCGAAGTCAATATCGTGATCCCTTTACCGCTATTATCACCGCCCCTCTCGTCTAAATCAGCACTTTAGTCTCCGTCCATGTATTCTATAGTCAATGGCAACAACGTGCAAGAGCGCCATTGATACGTCGGACGAGCGCGGACTATTAGGTTCCTCCTCGCCTAATGGATACTTCCGGCGGCATGGACGCGTGTCTTGGACCGGCGAGATGGAACGACCGCGATGAAGATACACGGGTGCGGCGAAAATCGCGGCCGCCAGCGGCGAGGGAGGGAGGGAGGGGGGGAGCTGGAGGTGAATCTGTATAGTCGCATAAATCACCGTGTCAGAGTATAGAATTAGCTCGTTCGTCCGTCCGCTCGTTCAGTATAATATCATCGCCCGGGTGACGCATTAGTTGAGTACCGCGAGACACGTCCGAGTGGCGTCGAGAGGGGGGAGACGGCTGTTGCGAAATCGACTGGCGATAAGGGCATGTCCGAGGATGTTCTTCAGAATGGACCACCTCTTCGATCGGAATGAAACTTATCAGGTGAGCTCGGGGGATCGCATTAGGGTTAACTCTCTCCAAGTCCCAAGTGTGGATCTTGAGTAGCCTGAAAGATAATATTATAAAGTTGAATATATAGTTTAAAAATATTGCTATCCTTATTTATATATAGTTTAAAAATATTGCTACCCTTACTTATATATAGTTTAAAAATATTGCTACCCTTACTTATTCCCCATCGACGACTTTGATCTCGATCTGTAGCATGAAAGTCATCATTTCAAGTATTTTCGATCAAGTTTTATCCGTCGCCCATCGCTCGTTGAAAAGTTATTAACAAAAAAGGTTTGAAGATTATATCAGTTGTATTTCGAGATATTCAGTAAAATGGCAACTTGACATATGTTGTCACGGTCAATGTCTTGAGTAACCTTTAAAAGATTTTAACCGGCGATCATTGTTTATTAAAAGATTAACAAAAAAAATGTAATGAATAGAATGTAATTTTCTGACGTCCTAGATTGAGAGATTAGATTGTATATTTTTCGTGGAAAAACAAAATACCTTCTGTTCAAAAAGTACCCGGAAGTGTTCATTTAAATGACGCGCGTTTATGATATTTCAAAATCCTTTTGTGGTTAAGTTATCATCGTACTTAATTTCCATATAGAATTGGAGCGTGATCAATTAGTTCGTTCGTGATAGCTGTTTATATCAGCCAACTGCAAGTACCATTTGCGATTTTCACGATGTCAAATATTGTGGAGCAAAGAGTTTGCCTTAAATTCTGTGTTTTTAACGAAATTTGTTATGCCGGCGTGTTGAAAATGCTACAAAAAGCATATGCGGATAGCTATATTTCAAAAACACAGGTATATGAGTGGTAGAAATTATTCAAAGAGGGTTAAAGGGTTACTTGCCTCGTTCTGGTCGCCCATCCATGTCAAACGACGAAACGTTAAAAGAGTGATGATATTAGTGCTTGAAAACAGCCGTGTGAGTGAGAGAGATTGCTGCCGAATTTAACTCTTTCATTGTTAGTGGGAAGTATACTTCCCATCTTTTCTTGATTCCATTTTGCGTTGTAAATCACATAATTTTGAAGAACTAATCGGGAATTTGAGTTTTCCAGATAATTAAATAGTTGTTCAACATACTCCAACAGGTTTTTGTACCCAATAATTATTGATTTGTGATTATTTATAACAAATCAAAGTTGAAAAAAATGCTTTTTTTATGGAAAAATCGATTCCTCGGAGAGTATTGAATGTAGAGGTCTGAAATTTTCACCAAATATTTTTCTGATGTTGTACAAAAACATATATTTTTTTCAGTATTTTTTTGCAGGTTAGATTTTTGTTTTATAAACAAATATTTCTACAAAAACGGCCGAAATTTGATTTTTTTGCACTTCTTAGCTCTATTTTCCTAGTTTCTTCATTCTGTATCTCCATCTTATCTATACTATCAATATTATTTTACTCAAAAATGAATGTTTAATCTCTAGTAAGCGTAAATATGCAGTATTGAACATTTTCCCACATAAATTTTTTCCAGCTCGATCGAGTTCCATCGTCTAGAATCATATGTTCTTATTACGACCTGGTGATTATTTAATAATAATTGAAATTTTCATTAATTTTGTACATCATGATTGCCATATTGAATCCGCCATTTTGAATTTTGCAAATCTGACTTTAGATTCGTAATCTAGCGACCCAAAAAACATAGGACTACCAAATATTTTAATAATTTTCTCAAGGGAAGTTAATTCAGCAGTGAAAGGATTAACATATCAAATGGCTCTGTTCATACCATTTTTACTGAAAGTTTTGGGCATGAGACGCGTCGTAGCACAGCTGCCGAAACAGCTGAACTTTTTGCGAAAAGAATACCGCAAAAATGTGACCGAAGAAATGATTTTTCAAGCATCTATCGACAAAACATTCATGCAGCGCATCATGATTTGCCAAAATTCAAATTACTGCTTTATATTGTGCGTTTTGAGACAACTGAGGCAGTAGAAGAGAATTCGCTGAAGAAACTCAAGGTCATACCAAAATCGGCTGTTGAATATTTTGAATCGGTAATTGAATATTTTGTGTTTTATTGCTCGATTCCGGGTACTTTTTGAGCAGAAGGTATGTGTAGTTGAAATTTTTCTCTTTGCTAAATTAATTAGGCTGTCATATACTAAAATATCAGATCGTGAAAAGGTTAGCAAGAGCTCCTACGCAACGCGAGGATCTCGTGAAATTAAAAAGCAATTTATATCCGAAGTGTGGAATAGATCTCGCTCCGCGTGGAAAATGAAAAACTTATATATAGAGCTGTATGTTCCTACGGAAAAGCGGAGCGAAGTATGAACGTAATCGATAAACTCGATAAACCATCATTGAATCTATCCATAAACTATTCCTGAAGATATATAACTCAATCAACTATTACTGGAAATAAGTCGATAAACTCAGTAGATTGTCACTGAAAATAACATAAAGAAAATTAACCTAACCTAACCTATCTCTACCCAAACTCCTCGATGAAAACGGCCAGCACCTATTTTTTTCTTCAGTTTTCTGCCTTACAATTGACCATCGTACAAAAACGACGTAGTTAATCCTATTTTGCTAATAATTTCTTAACAAACGATATGAGCCTTCGCTAAAATTGGTGGGAGAGCCCTCAGGAGACTACGACCTTCATGATACGCGTCAAGGATCAAAGCACCAAAGTCATTGTGACGGGAGGTGGTTAAGAGTGAAAATATCTTTAAACTACTCAATTTTATCAAATCCTCTTTGAACCTGTTCAAGACCCCCACACTTGGGACCTTGACACCTGACTTTAACATGATCCCTGGAGTTCACCAAAAAAGTTTCACTCCAATCGAGGGGGTGGTTCATCCGGAAGTACAGTCTTCGACTTAATTGACACTTTACGAGTGCATCTCTCTACGTGCGATACGGTGCCATCGCTGTCGTGTCGGAGACGGCGGTGGGGCGGTGTAGCGATGGTGTGGTGGTGTAATGGTGTGGCGGAGGCGGTGGCGGCGGCGGCGGCGGCGGCGGCGGCAGCGGCGGCGGCGCGCATGTGACGTATGCGCCCAACGCAATCCTTCGGCATCGGCCACCGCGACAGACGTGACTTCCCTCAGTGGCCCGTGAAACGCGATCGGAGTACTACGGAGTTCTCTCGTTCTCTCCCTAGTCTCCCCTCTCTCTCTTTCTCTCTCTCTCTTCTCGCTCGCGTCGCGAAGCGACATGCGATCCGCAATTCCGCGATCATCCCGCGTCACATCGATCCGACAGCGTCGCGCTTGACGGCCGCGGAAAGATCTTGGCGGCATGTCATGGCGGGTGCTTGTCGCGCTGTCTAATGTAAATTGAAGGGATAAGTGCGAACGTAGGTGGTATGTAATGTCTGGGGAAGTCACCGGAGGTTTCTGCATAAACGTGGTTGTCTCCCTCTCTCTCTCTCTCTCTCTCTCTCTCTCTCTCTCTCTCTCTCTCTCTCTCTCTCTCTCTCTCTCTCTCTCTCTCTCTCTCTCTCTCTGTCTCTCTCTCTCTCTCTCTCTCTCTCTCTCATTCTCACTCTTTCTCGTGTGTTTCTCCCGGGGTGCTCCTCATGCTTTCTCGCGAATTTCCTCTCTCCTCTCTTTGCCTCCAAAAATGTCAGGTATGTATTCGTTTCATTCCCGGACAAGCGGAAGTTGCGACGCATGACACGCTGATTCGCTTGGAGAGGATTGACAGATTGAGGAGCGGGTAGTATTTGTAAAGTTATAAATTCCCAGTTTCTCTCTCTCTCTCTCTCTCTCTCTCTCTCTCTCTTTCTTTCTTTCTCTCTCTCTCTCTCAATGTAATTTTCACAGAGGATCGTGATAAAACTACTGGCGAGTTCGTTTTGTTTGGCCAAATTTTCTCCCCTCGCCGTACGGGGCGCGATCCTCGGTTCTAGACGCGGTCGCGTTTGAACGGCGCTGCTAAAGCAATTAGTGGCCTCTTTCTTGCCAAGGCTGTGTCAATTAGCGAGCAAATCACGCAGGACGAAAGGAGAAATCAAAAGAGCTCTCGGTCAAGATAAGTTTGTTTAATTGTTGCGCGGGTCGCGTGGAGCTGCTAGATTCTGTCCCGGTGCGGCACGATCGATAAACGGGTCGTGAAAAATCGCGCCTTGATAAAAGAAGAATCGAGAAAATTAAATTCTTTTTATCATCAACGACGCCGGTATTCTATTAAATTTCTGCCGGGGGGAAAGAAATTGCTGCAAGTATGCGCGCGTGATTAATGACTTACTAGGAACTGGAGCATACTGTGTGTATACGTATAAAGGTCGGAAAGAATAAATTACGAAGTTTTCGTGCAGTTTCGCATCGACAAAGCACAACAGAGAGAGAGAGAGAGAGAGAGAGAGAGAGAG